CTTCCCCCGAAGGTCGTCCAAGATCTGCAAAACATCAGGGCCGAACTCAGCGGTGAAGGTGATGCCAAAGAAACATAAGACAGTATCGAAAAAATATTGGCCACGTACCATGACAAACCCTTGCCTGGTTTCGAATTTCCTGTTCGAGAACTGCGAGGCCTAGATGAAGCCTTGAAACGTGTAAGCAGAGAACTCGTGAACAACATGGGGAAACTGAACGAAATCGATGAGCACATCGCTCGTGAGAAAATAAAACTCACCGAAACGGAAGACGAGTCTCTGAAAACCATCATCGAATAACGATTGCGCAACTTGCAAGATAAGAGACGGACTCGGTTGGAATCCGCTTCCTCGAACCGGGAACAGCTTTGATCCCAGATCAGCCGCGTGCGGGAAACCATCGATCGAGTCCTGAATGAAGACACCACGTTGGCCAACAGGATCCGAATCCTACTTCCGAGAGCAAGGGATTACTATCGCCAGCATTCTGACTGTATTGGGCTTCATCATATCAACCCCGGTCATGTCGCTGACAGGGGGCACACCCACCCCACCAAGTGGGGGTACACCCACTGGTGACGTCAGAGACAGGATAAAAAACATCTGAAATCCCTCAGGGAGGCCCTGATTAAACTGGCTGGTAAGGCCGCCGAAGCCCTGCCCGGCATCCTCGGTAGCATCGTCTCGTGGCTGCTCAGCACGCTGGCTAAAACTGCCACGTGGCTCGGTCAAAACCTGTGGGCAGCTGTCGTCGCCGTGGCGGGTCTGGTGTATGTAGCGGCTAAGGAATTTTTAACCAAATGAGACCCAAACCGACCCGCGGGTTGGGGCTGCTGATTGGGTGTCGGGTTGGGGCTGTGGGTTGTGTGGGTTGAACCCTAGGCTCTGGGGTTGGCGCCACTATACCCGTCTCACCAGTCGTGGGGGGTGGCACGTGGGGGGTGTTGACATCGGGGTTGACCCCCAGCTTTTGGCCTGCCGTGGCTACGATGATTTTGTTGTTGTAGCCCACAACTTTGTTGATTCTCAGTCACATGTCGCTCGGAGCCATGTACAGTCCCACAGCGAACATGTAGTCGACTTTCGACCGGGCATATTCCAACACGTCTTGGTATCGTCGGATCGACTGGGGCGGAGATTGCATCCTCGGCGTTAGCAACGAACTGTTTCTGAGTGTCGTAAGCAGTCCCCTTACCGAGGATGTTGGAACGCGTTTGTGCCTGTGCACCCAACAGCGCCCACATGTACGTTCGAATCGAGTCGTTCAAGCAGTTGATGCCGGCACGAGTAAACCATCTCGACGTGTCCAGCATGAACTTTTCCAGGCATCCGTGGGCCCCTGCTCGAACCTCAGACTAGGAACCTCCAGACTCGTTTGTTGGTAATCCCTTTGCTGTTGTCGAAAAGCCATGTAACGGTCATCCCACTCGTTTGTTGTGATATGATCGTCGATCTTGTACTGCCCCATTCTTTCATCTTTTCACTGGAAACATGAACACAGACTGACTTCCGTTATATGGCGCAACAGGGGCATATTGTGAACGATAGGGATACCCAACCCATGGATCTGGCCTGGCAAACGCCAATCCGTCTTCGGGTTTAGTATTATATTGAATTCGTTGCAAACGCGTTCGTAGGCCCGTCGATCGTAACGGGTTGTTTACCGCGATGGCGCCCACATGCTTTGTCAATGCCCGTCCAGATAACTGAAGGCTAATACAGCGTGTGGGGATCTCCGACCTCAGGGACACACGCGGATTCGACGACCCCGGAGTAGATGGTAAATTGTACGCCTTGCAACTGAAAAACAACATTTACAAACGCGTTGAAGCCCCCTCCATCGGTAGAACCCTAGGTGACGTAGTAGATACCTCAGGAGCGGCCTAGATGTTCACGGAGAACAAAGACAACTACCTAAACAAAGTCGTGAACAACGGAACCCTGCTCGTGGTTTACGTCATGGCACAGAGACGTAGCGTAATCATCAGCCCAGTCTCGAGTGCTACAGCCCACATGCTGTCGAGCAAGCCCAGGATACAAAACGTGGCATTGCAGGTGGTGTCTGAATTCGAAGGTGTGGTCAACATCCTAGAGAGTCAACCGGCGAACTCCACGCTGGTCATCCAAGTTTACCTAGGTGAACCACAGCGCGAAGTCGAAGTCATGAAGGGGATCAAACTCCGGTGGGGGAAACAACATCAGTATGACGTTTGCACTGTTTACGTGCGGGTGGGTGTCGACTCCCACACCAGTCTGCAGGGGGTCACCGTGACCGTGGAAGACACGATATCCCTCACCAAGGTCTTCCTACCCGACAACATACACTTCATGGGGGTGAAGTGTACCCGTGAGAAATTATCGGTAAAACAGTTGGAAACTATCTCGTAATAGTATTATAGCAATGTCCAATCATCATAGGCCCAACGCCACGCTTAACGACCTAGGGGACACAGAGGGATTCGATCAGCCTGGCGAGGAAGACGCTTTGTACGTCCTACACTTGAAAGACAATATGTATAGGCGGGCGGCAATAACCGATCATCGGCCCAACATCACACTCGGGGATCTAGAGAACGTGGAGGGGTTTGATCGGGGTAATGACAACTCCTTGTACGCCATGTGCTTGAAAGACAACGTGTATAGGCGGGCGGACCTAAGATTATATATAGAACCCGAATGGTTTATCAACTTAACCCTCACAGCACCTTACGTCTCGATAAACAAAAATGGGTTTGTCTCCAAAATTAGGAACAACGGCGTCTGGCTCACGTCTTTCATACCGAATTCTGATAATATAAGAGTTTCCCAAAGAACAGTCCGCTCAGGCAACATGTTACATTCATCTGAGGGCTCAAGTTTATGGCCAACTTACCTGATATCCTACCACATCCTATGACTGTGAAACCAGACTCAACACACATCATAGAACTCCTTCTCGCAGGCACTGCTTTGAGTTACCACTGGCATCTTTTACCTGGGTTAACAATAAATTGGCCAGCTGGACTTTCTGATGAGGGCATACATTGCCGTATCATCAGGCACTCAGGATCGAACATCTTAGTAGAACCTTCACTGGTTCAGGTAGAAGAAAATGCACCTATTAGCCTTTCCCAGATTTTCCTGAACGAGAACCTATCCCTTATAAACCTCAAATATATTTATGCCACATTTAACCACGATGAATTAATATATAAATACCGACTTATACTGAATGAGAACCTAGCCCTTATATGCCCCAAATACATTGATACTTATTTTAAAATCGACGAATTAAAAAATATCTTGCGGTAGATATTATACACAGGATGGGACTGTAACCTGCCGTAGAGGTAGTCGCGAAGACCCAGGAAACCGTTGACGGGTTCCGCTTGAGGCAGTTATGTGATGTAAAACGCCAACAAGAACAAGACTGCAACACACGGAAAGCACTATGTAAGAAGTACCATAGAGCTTTCAATATCGTGGATGGGTCTGATATTGTCCTTACGACAACCAGCATGGGACTAGGGGCGGCAGGTGTTGGGTTGTTAGCCACCATCGTGGCCGCACCTATAGTGCTAGGCATTGAAATAACAGCTGGGGTGGTAGGGTTGGCAGGGTTGGTGTTTAAGGTTACATCCCGCAGATTGCATGGTAAAGCATTGAATCACGACAACATCAGGGTTCTGGCCGACGCAAAGCTGAACATGGTAAGTGAGCGTATTTCCACGGCACTCACTGACAGTAAGATCTCAGAGGAGGAATTTTGTTCAATCTTGTCTGAACTCGACAAGTACCGTAAGATGAAACAAGAAATCCGGTCCAAGTCTCGTAAGTCTGCTATCAGCGAAGACGAGAAAAAAAAGTAGACAGAACATGGGGTACGAAAAGCCCAGCAAGCCTTCATTACGAACACCAAAGAGATCATAGTCGATTCACATTAAACTGTTTCCTCGAGGTCAGCACACGACATAGTGCCACGTGATCAGGAAAGTGCTAGTTTGCGGTCATAGTGACCAGGAAGTTAACTGGGGATTCAAAAGTAGTATATACAATGGCCTGACAAAAGGGCCTGACAAAAGCTTTATTTGTGAAATAAAGCTTTACAGCGACCTTTCTTGAAAGTGATCTCGTACCCCCAGTATATATACTACTTATGGACCCTATAACGATATTTTACTGCTGTTCGAAATTTCACATATATCACTTAATTATTTTTTCAGACTTATAACAATTCATTGCCTTATAATAGTGCAGTGTGTCTTGTAGATATGTTGCCACGAGATCTGGTCTGGTCGAACTGGTAAAGTATCACAAACTGACACAAAGTTGAGTTGAGTTGGGCTTTATGTCACATCGGCATTATCCCAGCCATTTATTGATGGGATCAAGTATGCATGACACACTTCCGGTATGGCAGGCGTGTGGGTAAGAAGTGTTCACGCAGGCTCTGATAAATCCAGCCCCATCTACATAATGCCGGAGGGCAAAACAGTTAACAAACGCCCAAAACAGCCTCTTATTGCACTAGTCCAAAACAAGGAAACAATGTTGGACACCTACATCGTCACAAGTTCAAGGAAAAAAAAATCAATCAGACTCACAACAAACGAAGAAAAAAATGGCGACCATGCACTGACGGAAAACTTCGAACATAAGAAGATATCAGTTCAAATGATGCAAAAAGAACAAACAGCGGGGACAAAAGAAGAAATTCGTGATGTGAAAAGGGAACTAAAAGAAATGAAAATAGAAATTAAAGACTTTCATACCAAGATGAACAAAATAATCATGGCCGTGAATTTCAATGAACATGAAATAAAAGAGAATAAAAGTAATAATATTGCCTACGAGATGAGACAGAAGGACGGTGTACAAACAAGAATTTTGGAACGAGGTGAGGTGAGGTGAAATTGGGTTTTACGTCGTGCTTGAGTGAGTGAGTGAGTTAAAATTTCAAGGGGACCTTTTATAAGTCATTACTAAACCGTAATATGATATTACATTGTGTATGCACTTACCAATCCAAAGGTCAGCACTTGGTAAATGAAGATTAGACGTGGTGCGACGTACTACCCTGTACTGAGTGCACATAGAGTTGGGACGTAAAACGAAAGAAAACGCATGGCATCTTGGATTCAGGCAGCAAAATCTGGAACACAGGATCAGCGAAACTGCTCTCTTCGAACTCAATGTATCTGCACTAACATCTGTTCTATCCCTAAGGGCAGTTTTCGTATACTTTCTTTCGTGAATAGCAGAGTCGCCGGAGCAAGGCTTAACCATCAGCACTGAAAACAATATGGCAATTTGCAGTAGAAGTTCCATTGTGTCCATGACTGATTCTGTCAGCGAACAAAGGTCGGAATACTTCGAGCAGGTTAGCCCTGTAAGGTTGTACCTCAAACTCAATTGTTTTCTTTAAGTCTGATCCCCTCCAGTTCCACCACGGCTCGGTATTGGCTGAAAGCTCAATGTTATGCAGCTTGTAATCGATCACCACTCTGCTGCTACCAGCTAATGCTGACAGAGGGTCCTGCATAATAAGTGTAGTCAATATTAACAGCAGTGTTTAAGGCTGCTCGGGTGTTAGTTGACATTTGTGAATACAGACTGTTACGTGTCGATTTCCAAATGAAAAGTTAACCAAGGCAACTGATCACTATGAATTCAATATGAAAGCCTCAAAGGACGAAAACTCTTTATCAGTTATCACTGAAATCCAAAGATAACATTTACAATTGTATAGGCAGTACTACAAAGCAGTTCGAAATACGGTGGCAGCACATTTTCCGTGGTAAAAGAAAATGAATTCAGTGATAATGATACCCTCTCAGGAGCGACGATGCTCAATCATTCAAACAAGCCTGGATATCCAGGATGAAAAGGTGATCTATACACAACTACTGGTAATGTGAGATCAAAGGGCCATGTGCCAACTCAATCCCTGCTCTTGACTTTGTAATTTCCAATGATCATCATACATACATGTTGAACGTTTAATGTAGACGAGGCCTCTTGAATGGTCGGTCCTGAAACGTCAATGTTAGCAGACAGATAAACGTTAATCCAAAGTTGTCACTCTCGTACATCTTAACAACCGTCCCTTATGTAACAGGCATGAAGTCAAACAATTATAATACTTGTTTATTTGTCCCAATCGGGTTTTATCATTGTATATAGTGTATATGATTGTTCAACAGACTACCGCTTGTTTACAATAAGTAATCTAATTAGTTGTTTGTCTATCTTCACCTCATGAATAATACTCTTATAGCTCCATCAGCTTATAGGGTCAGTTCATTCTTGTTTTAAGGGTAGTCAGGTTATTCCATTTTCGTAAACTAAGTATACTGTCTGAAATATATTAATCTAATTGTATTAAATACCTTTGTTATCTAAGTAGTCATTATGCATTTACAATCTGGAAATTGCATCGGCACAAACATTGTGTTTGCCTTTAATATGCCTAATCACAAGATTGAACTCTTGCAAAGTCAAACTCCACCTCTTAAGTCTTTGGTTCTTGTTCTTCATTTTGTGAAGAAACGTTACGGGATTGTGATCAGTAAACTACGGAAGCGTAGTAGGTTCACGGTGAATTTTAGTTTAGTCTCATTATTTCCTTCGTAGGTCATAGTATCTGCCACGTAGGTCATAGTATCTCCCCTCGTGGGACATAGTATCTCCAATGTAGGTTATAGTATCTCCTACGTAGGTCATAGTATCTGCTACGCTGGTCATAGTATCTCCTACGTAGGTCATAGTATCTGCTACGTAGGTCATATGCTACGTAGGTCATAGTATCTGCTACGTAGGACATAGTATCTCCTACGTAGGACTTATTATCTAATATGTTTGACCAATTTCTACGTACGACTTAGTATTTACTACGTACGACTTAGTACTTGATATCTCCTGCGTAGTACTTATTATCTCTTACGTAGTACTTAATATCTGAATACTTATAACTGTAAACTCATTTAATGTTTTGATTGTATATTTTTGACATCATCTCCAACTTTACCTGAGCAAAGACATTCCTTCCCAAACTCAGAATTGAACCCAGAAAATGGTCTCGAAAACAAAACCTGATCTCGGAGATATATCCGCCGTAGCAGGACCAGTCCGTAGACGTTTCAGGCTGTCTACTACTATGTTGTTGTAGGTGTTGGTTGTTGTTGTGTGTTGGCGGATATTCCTCAAAGTGACAACACAAGTCCGTCTGCGGGTCCACAACGTTTTATTGTGAGCTGTGTTTAACTAGGAGCTTAGTGCTCAGCTCCCAGTTCCAAACTAACTAACCAACGCTCATTAATTCGACTATATCTCAGATCTGATAATCTGTCTTCCTAAAATGGTATTATGGCAAGACCATGTGGAACCTCGTCCACAACCCACATGCCTCTCGTGCAGTGGTCATCTGGATCATCCTACTCTTGACCTAATAAGACCATAGCAGAAAGCCACAGTCTCAGAATTTCAAGAGTATGTTTAAATCATGCACCCATTATCAGGCCAGCGGCCAAACAGCTGACCAGTACATGCCTGACCTCTGACCTCGTTACATCCCCCATGCGGTGTTAGCTAAGGGGAGAGGGGGAGACTATCGGTGTTACGACCCAGCCGGGAATTCGCCCGGCGCACACTGCGCGTGGCACACAGTATAGTGTATGTGGTATACAGTATATTGCACTTGATATACTGTATACTGCATGTGATAGATGGTACCATGTTCTTCATGTTTTTCATGCAACTCATGCTGCACGTACTGTACACAGGACAAGCCCTATAACATGCACCCCCAAACCTGACCATCAACAGGCTGCAGCAACGTTTCCGGGCGACAAAGACCACAAATGATCGCCCCCCGATCAGTCGGTACTGCATATCAACTGCAGATGGCAGAACAAGAATATGGCGACAACGTGGTCAGCGGTACTCAGACCAATGTGTTATGGAAAGAGACTCATGGGGAGGTGCAAGCATCATAGTATGGGGTGGAATAGGCCTGAACCAGAGAGTGTGTCCTGTGGTGTTCCAGAACCTTGGTCCAGGGAGAGGAGGCGGCATCACAGCGGGATGCAATTCAGAAGAGACTGAGTAATGTCATACCACAGCCGATTTTATTGCGCCAGGCCTTTCTCAGAGTGTGGTTCCAGGTGTCAGTTGCCATCAATCGATTGGTGCACTCCATAGACAATGTGCTGCAGTTATTGACGCTTGTGGTGGTCACACTAGATACTGAAGTCAAGAGTCTGAATGGATTGCAAACGTTAACGTAATGTCTTGAAATTGAGTCATTCATTGATGTGTCAAGATGTACACAAAATATTGTTTTGATCCGCTTATTATGTCCATTTCTGTAATGATTTGAATACAGTGCCTATCAAATTTTGAATTCGTACTGACGTCTTTTTTGCTGCTGAGTATACATTAATCTAAAATGGTCGACTTGAATAACCAGATACAAACAATGCCTGTTTCACTGTTTCAGTCAGTGTTAGGGTCTACAGTTATGTGTTTCATTGACTGTTAGAGTCTACTGTTTCATTCACTATCAGAGTCATGTGTTTAACTTATTGTGTGCACAGACGTGTCTTAAAACTATCGGTGGCAATCTCTGCGTACTAAATCCTGTATACTTATACAAATAACTATAATGACAATTCTTTGCCTCTTTTAATTTCGTATTGTTTCAACACTTTCACAACCCAGTCAGGTCAACTTGTAAACAATCACGAAAACAAAAAAAACGCAAAAGAGCGTTGTATCCGATCCAACCGAGCCCAAGCCGAAGACAAGCAACAACTTGCAGAGGACGTGTTATAAACAGAGTTTCATATCAGAACCCGAACCCCCACCCCACCTCTGCGTGTGCGCGCGTGCAAGCGTGCGTGCGTAACGTCAATGATCACTTATTTGATCATCAAACACGTAGGAGGCGCCGTGAAAGCTAGAGAATGTTGGTTATCTCTTTCTGTCATCTATCACACACACCACGTGAAAGCTAGAGAATGTTGGTTATCTCTTTCTGTCATCTATCACACACACCACGTGAAAGCTAGAGAATGTTGGTTATCTCTTTCTGTCATCTATCACACACACCACGTGAAAGCTAGAGAATGTTGGTTATCTCTTTCTGTCATCTATCACACACACCACGTGAAAGCTAGAGAATGTTGGTTATCTCTTTCTGTCATCTATCACACACACCACGTGAAAGCTAGAGAATGTTGGTTATCTCTTTCTGTCATTTATCACACACACCACGTGAAGCCTATTCACACGGCGCAGAAAGTGCACTTGATATTGTCCAGAAAGTGGGTTGCGTCCAGTGCAAATGAATGCGTGTGGCTTCGCTTGTTCTGACATCATGTTATGCTTGGTCCTTGGTCAAAAGATGACGTGAATGTGCATAAAACGTCAAGAACCAAGGTACATTCGCCATGTCTTGGCGCGTTGTTTTGTCAAGGGAGACAACTGTGGAATATATAAAAGTATTACTTTGAATTAAAACGAAATTGAATCACGTAATGTGACACTTGTCAAACTTCGTGTAAAAATAACAAACTGGATGATCAATTCCTGAATCATCCGCTTGAATCGTGACACAACCTGCACCTACATCACTTGCATCAAATTGTAACTTAAAACTTATATCAGGGATCTAATGCAAAAGAAGTGAGACACCCAAGTCGGTATCAATAAAGTACACGCAATAAAACTCCTACTTGGGCTGTCAATCCAGATTTGAGGTCATTTTAAGACGATGCCGTATTTGTACAAAGTAAAATCGACTTTGTCGGATTGGCAACAGCAGGTATACACACGAATATTTGTTAAAAGGAGATGAAAGTACCATGTGCTGCTTGCCTGCATTGATTTTCCTTCACAAGTGATAAATATTACAGTGTCAGAACAAAAAACGGACCTTTTCAATCACGTACATCGCATTTTAAAAGAAATAAATTTCATTCAAAATTTCTGATGTACCGTTAAATTATTGTCCCCATGAGAGGGTACGTAAGTTCCATTTCAATCAAAGCATCGTTATATGTACCATTTTTTTAA